TTCAGAAAGGTCGCCGTCAAAGATGTCGTACCCAAGAAAGACCCGCTCAAGATTATGCTCAGAAGGCTATTAACAGGTTTGTTATGTTCTACTAGCCAGTCTGAGTTTCGATCTTTAGCATTAATATAATATATCTCTCTCCCTTTGATTGTAAGATAAGAAAGATGCTTTCCCTTTTCTTTTTTTTTTTTTCCTTTTTCTCCCCCCCTACTCATGAATTAACGAGTTGTATGGTGCCATCATACGAATTGTTGTTCTTGAAAGCGGAAAAATTACTCCACAAGATTATGTATATGTGTAGAGATACCAATTATATTTGTTTAACATCTCGAGAAATCAAATCAATTTTCGCCAAAATTATGGAGTCAAGAATTTGATTCTTTGGAGCAACGGACTCGATTCGAAGAAACTGGATTTGCTCACCTCGAGTTGAACTCGGATATTTATATTTCTAGCAAAGAAGTGAGGTTCGACACGAATGCTTCCAGGATTTACATATACTCCGATCAGGAAATTGGAAAAGTACACGGCTCAGCCGTACCCACTTAAAAACGATGGAGTGGCAATGAAAATGGTCAAGCCCGTCGAGATTCAGCACGGTAACATCCGCCCACCACCTTGTGATTTCAACACAAGGTGCCGGCCTTGGTTTTCTCCTCGGCGGATTTGCTGGGAATATTATTCAACGACATTATCATTCCCGTCTTCATCACGAGCCGGCATTTCAGATCCAAGGTGAAGTTCATGATCACGGATTACCAGCTTTGGGTGCTCAACAAATTCAGGAAGGTTTTAACCAAGCTGTCGCATTTCGAGTTCATAATGCAGCCGAAACTAGTAAGGGGACCATTCATTGTTTTCCAGGGGCCATTGTTGGGCTCAAGTATCATGACAATTTGGCCATCAACACCAGCGACACCCCAGGAGCTTATTCCATGGTCGAATTCAGGATCTGCTTAGAAAATCGTTTAATTTGAAGCCGAGGGATGTGTCCCAGATGCCGGGGACAGAAAGCCACAATTGCTAATAGTGTCTCGCACGAGAACAAGAACTATAGCGAATCAAGAAGCCGTGGTGAGGATGATGGAGGAGTTGGGCTTTCGCGTGTTCATTCCTACCAATGATCTGATGTCAAATTTGGATGAATTTTCTCGGGTCATCGGTTCCAGCAGTGTTATGGTTGGAGTGCATGGTGCCGGGCTGACAAATGAAATTTTCTTGCCTAACGGGCAGTCATGATTCAGGTGCTTCCACTCGAACTCGACTGGGTTGGAAATGCATACTACGGCGGACCGGCAACGGGAATGGGGTTGCATTACTTGGAATACAAGATTGAGCCTCAAGAGAGCACACTTTATGATTTGTATGGACCGATCATCCCGTGCTTAAAGATCCGCGAGTCTATCAAGCACAGGGTTACAGAAATCGAGGGTTTATTATTTGGACCAGCAGAATGTGACGATCAATTTGCGAAGATATTGGAATACCTTTCGAAGCAATGAGGCTATTGAGGGCTTATTGGGCGCTCCACAACAAACCCTCCAAACTGAAGAAGAAAATAGTTTCTTTCTCGTTTGGTTTAGTTTTGGCTGAGTATTTTTTTGGTTGTTTTATGACGTTACGTAATAGACATCCCCCCTGGAAAGAGAAAACCTTTGCCGCCTTGCTGCGGAGGGAATCAGTCATTGGTTGCAAAATTAAGGCAAACTTTGATAGAGGGTTGGCATAAACTATGGTCCCTCTAATTGTACAAGTCTTATGTGTTAATAATGTTGAGTAGTTCTTAATGTTGAAACAAACAATTGTACTTATTGCATTGGGTTTACAAAACATAGGGTGGTTTTCGAAGAGATTTTTTCTTTTTTGCCCCATAGAGTAAGAGCTAACTGGTAGTTTGTTGGTCAACGTACGCAGAACTTGTATCCCTGTCGAGATTACCTAAACAAACATTCTGCGAAAGTGTTTTGTGCACATTAACTTCGTATACAAAACCTAATACTATGTACTTGGAAACTAGACTCAGATAGTATACAAAAATGTGTTTTTTTTTTTTTTTTTGTCGAAACGATACTAATTTGGAGCAAAGATCCCTCATTTTTATACAAACCGACACTAATAAGGCTAGACTTTTATTGGGCATTCACGAACATTTTTTCCCCAACGCACTCTTTCCTTCCAACCGGTTTAGTGCCTTCTATAAGTTGGTAAGTTATGCCTTGATGATGGAAGACCAAATTATTTTTTCCTTATCAATTTGATAATGCGTATATAATCGTTTGCATTTTCTTGGCTTACTTGAGTGATGGGTCCGGGAGTAGTTGAAAGAATCATCTCAATATAAAGGTGAACTTATCTTTTGTTCCCAATTTTAATTTGTGTTTGATTACGATACCGGTAAACTTTGGCTGCGGGACCAGTTGAACAATCGTCGCATGCATAAAATACAAAAAAAAAATTCCCGAAATTAAAGTTCAGGTCGTTGTCAAAGGAAAAATTAATGGGAAAAAAAAAGGCACACACACACATATATATATATATATATATACTAGTAGAAAAAAAAAAACTCCAAGCTAGCTGCTGAGTCAAAAGTTGCCTGATTAGATCTTAATCAATTTTGGGGCTATCTACCTAATCTTCAAAGAAGTGTAAAGTAACACGAGTAGGAGAAACTGGCTTGCGTTGCCATGCGTTTAGGCATCAGCTCTCACTCGTAAAATGGTGGCATTATTCAACCACCCCTTGATTGCGAAATTCTAACAAGAAGCCCAAGTACAAAACTATACCATTCCGTTGTTGTCTTTTACATTGGACTAATATTCATTTTGATCAGCGATCTCATCATATTCTCATTGATCCTTGATTCAACCTTGGCTGTTATGACATGAAATTTATTCTCCCCGAATAATAATGGGATTGACAAGTTTTAACCCTTTTGTCGACTGTTAAAAAAAAAAAAGAAAAAAAAGAAATCACATATGGGTGGGATTCAAATAATCTCATGATAAAAAGGGAAAGGGTAATTGAAAATAAAATGCATCAAAAAGGGAAAGGAAGTGCTCTACTAGCAAGTAGCAATAACTAAAAAAGGAAAAAGCAGGGTGCTGAATGAATAAAGAGAAGTGGAGAAAGAACATAGAATCTTCTCCACATTATTATTGGTTTTGGAGATTAACAAGAGGTAAGAGGGGCACTTGAATGGTGGAATCAAGTTATGTCTCTCATAGATATCATGACTCCTAATCATGGTGGATTCTTACGTGATAATTAACTTCGTAAGAAAATTCTAAATCATTTCTGCAAATTCCAACTTAAACATCTCATAACTTGACTCTTCTTGTCAATCATAATCTTTTGCTGTGTGACTTTTGCATATCAGAGATGGACTTTGCTGATAGATAGTAGCATCGTCAAACCGCTTATATGACGAATTGAATTTGGACAAAATGTAGGTGGAACTTGCACATCCCCACCCCCCAAAAAAAAGGAGGAAAAAAAATGATAATGATAATGACTTCCCTTTAATTTGTTTGATTTATGGTTTTTTTAGTAACCGAGAGACCAAAAATTCCGGGTATAGCATGTTCTAAATGGATTTTTGGAGTTGCCAAATATTTAAAAATGAAAATAAATAAAGACACGACGCTATGAGTTGAGGAACGATGCAGTAAAAGTGGCAGGCTGGTTTGCAGTTTCTCAACTTCCATCGATCAGCAGGCTTACCGTTTTCCCTTGGGATTACTGTGCGTTTTTCCAGATTGATCAACGTAATTCATTAGCTTTGCTTGATATTTTGCATCTAATTCCTTCTAACTCAATTTTTATCTACTGTTAAAATTCCTGACGTGTATTAGGTCCTAGCTCTCAATATTATGAAGCAAGGAAAGCATACTTTACATATTGGGCTGATAATAATGTTGGCACCACCATTTAAGGCAAATGAAAATATAAACAGCAAGAAGCACTGAAACTTGCACTTAGAAGGCTAGTTTACTTGGAAAAGAATTTTTGCCCCCTCCCCATTTCCTACCAACATTTTTCTGTCACGGATCAACGTATCTCTAGGTTATTACCAGTAAAGAGGAGTTCATTTGCGTACTAATTTCAACAGTAGGGCAGCAAAGATTACAGCAACCTATTCAAAGCAGCAGCCTAGTTGATGGAAGAGTATGAAGACACGAGTCCAGGCAACATAATCCTACAAATAGAGAGGACCGTCCGCTAGTACAAACAAACGACTCGGCGGAATCCCTCTGAGCAAGATTATTGAGTTCTTTCTCTTTTCCAATTGAACAGTATATCTTCTTTCAGCAATAGATAGCTCCAGATTTTCACTAACTGATTCTAATCACTGAATGCGAGCAGGACAAGATCCCAACAAGCTGGAAGCCACAGGCTTTGCTGTGATATTGCAATTTGCTTTGACATCTGCACTGCTAACATACCTGTCAGGATTGACACGAGGACAATGACGGTATGTTTCGCTAAGCTCTGGAAACTGGTAGTGCTGTTGGTCAGCCATATGTAAAGCAAAATGATGGAGATCTTCTCAAATATGTTAGACCAGTGCACATTTTCCAGAAAAACATCACACCACCAGCTTGCCTATTCGACCATGACACACCTGCTGCATCTTCACTTATAGTGGCCTCACGGGAAACTGCTTCCGTGAAAAAAAGGGAGTGATCAACAAACAACTTACCACTTCAAAACTCGTGTCCAGTTTGATTCTGCTGTTAAGGTGCTGGATCTAAAAGAGGAGGAAGGTTTCCTCTATTGGAAGAAGTTCCCACCAAATCGAGCAAAGATGCAACAAAGGGAAGCAAACTAAGCTACTGTATGATTCTGCTTAAAGGTAGGGGCGACCCTCTGGGAGAGCCACAAGCGCAATAGTTGCAGCTGAGTGAGCCATGGACTACCAGCCTTCATTTGCCAACATGTAAGATGCAATGTCTTTGAAGATTGTCCTGTTAGGAAGTCATCGACCCTGTTGAAAATGCCAGTTTTCATGGTACAACAAGAACCTTAATCCATAGCAATGATCATTTATCGATTCAAAAGTAAAAGAAAATGCAATATTTATTGAACTAATAATACAGAACTAATGAAGAAAATCGTTCTGCTTTTCCAGCTTCTACAATGTCTACCAACACAGCAGGTTACAATTTTCCATGATTCTACACCTAGGTCATCATTAGTACTCAAGAGTCTTGCAGACCTAGTAGCATCAGAGAAGCTGCAGAGTTCTCTGCGTTCTTCACTCTTGATTTTTCATCTCCCATCACAAAAAGCACAGCCTCAGCAATCTCAATTTGAACAGAGCATATAAATCGCCTATCATGAGCTGGACCTATCTCCTTTTCAATTCTGTAAATATTACCAAATATTCAGGAATCTAAATTTAGAAGAAAGGAAAAACATACTGACTTCTAATTTGAAGTACATGGCATGGAACTAAAATCGAGCTAAATGCCTAAGTATAACTCATGAAACTGAATAAGGAGTACCTGTAGCTTGGTTTTGGCCATCTTTTCCTTCCACAGAGCTCATGAAGTTTTTGTTTTGCACTTTCAATCTTGGTAGATCCATTGACTTCACCTATAATGTCTCTACCAATCTTTTCACTAGTTTTGTAAGATAATTTCTGCAAAGCAGCCTTAGCTGCATGAAGCTTTGCGTTTTCTTTCTGATCAGAACATGCTGAGGCAACAAATTGCCCATCAACATAAACACTTGCAATGTTTTTTTCCCCTTTTCTCCAATGTCTTATATCGACATGCTTTCCATCTTTCTGGCACAATTCGAATAGCAATGTTACTGGTTGAGGCTGATGTTGTAGTACATCAAGTGTGACAATTGGCTCCAATAAGCCCCTAAATATCTGAACCCAACAAAGGTACAAACCTTGAGAAATTTACATTGATGACCCAAAACACTTTGTAATGAACAATAGCTTCCCATATGTTCAAGAATCTAAGACAATAATAAGGCCTATTGCAACACCATCTACTTTGAATTGTCAAAACCTTAGTGGAAGCATGGAGGAAGAGTTTTCCTAATACATTCACACAATAATTCATAATTCACAATTCATGATTAGCAGTGTTGCTAGGATTCTTTTTGTTTGGCAAACTATGGAATTAAAAACTCTTTAGTTTTGGAAACCCCGTTTCTTTCATGTAATTTGCTGATATTAAATTGTCCTAATATTGGAACAGACATCCAACAAAGCAGGGCAGGAAAATATCTTTTAACACATCTCATACTTCAACTCATAAGAATGGTCTAACATTATCATGTTTAATCAAAGGGGTGGAAGGCACAAATAATAGAGGGAAAAAGAAAATAGAAAAAGTGCTTACCACCCACGCTTGCAGATCAAACCCGCAATCTACATATACAGCTGCAGCCACTGACTCCACTATGTCAGCAAGAACCTTTGGAGCCTTAATTGCCCCTCCATGTACCTCTGTTTCATCCTCCTGCCCTACCGCTGTTGCAAAATCTCTCACCTAAACAATCACAACCATAACTGAATCCATATTAACAGCAATAATCATGCAAAAATCGCAAGCCGACCAAACTATAATTCTAAATGTTTATTGGACTTGCACAAACACTTGTAGCTATCGAAGGTACCAGCATTCAAGAAAAAAATTGCTAGAGAAAGGCTGCTACCTTTTATCTTTTCCAATTAATCACACAAACTGATAGGTTCATCCATATGTAACCTATTATAGCAAAAAAACAAAAAAACATGCATACACGCCATGCATTCATGGTGGTATGATTTCCATCAATTCTAAGAAGGTACAATCATATAGCCGCAACGATCAAATAAAGTAGTACTGCTAGTATTTTTCAATTAATCAAACTATCTGCGAGAATCCATACACATACTGAACAACTTAAAAGCAAGCAAAAGTGTGCATCAATAGCTATACTTCATGCATTAACCATGGTACCTTAATTCCATACTTAAAAAAAAAAGAGAGAGAGAAAATAAAAGGCAAAGAAAAACTTTTTACTTTATCGTGAAGAGCAGCGGCATTGTGACGAACATATTTATGAAGGCCATGTCTGACGGCAACACGAGCTAACTTCTCGGTGCTAATATTGGCAGCCCGAAGAAGAGAGAGCTGGCCCGGATCAAGGTCCGGGTAAGCCAGGAACACGTAGTTAGAGACGGCTAAGCCAAGAGCGGCATCGCCGATGAACTCAAGCCGCTGGTAAGATGCCGAATCAGTGTAAGAAGAATGAGTCAGAGCTTCTTCTAGAAGCATCTTGTTCTTAAACTTGTAATTCAGGAGTTCCTCCACCGCCCTCACTGATGCTGCCATGTCTGTAACGGTCTCCGTCATGTCCTCGTCGTCGTCTGATGACGTCTGGAAGGTGTAAGCATACGTCACAGCATACTTTTCAGATGATTTCATGGCAGTTTAAACAAAATTTATGGGATATTCCACAGAGGGAAGACTTGGACTACGGGTCAAAGGTGGTGTGCTTCGGAATTCGCCGTTTGGATTTGTTTGATTGTCGGAAGGCGTTTTGGGAACATCAGGGAAAGCAAAGGGTGCCCCGGTAGGGGCGAACGGTATAGGTGGGATTTTTTCTTTTCTTTTATTTTCCCCCTAAAATCGAATTGGAAGTGGGATTTCTGCTCCCCAAAATTTTGAGTATTCAATTTATGCCCTCATTTTCACTGATTAGGTAAGACATATAGAATATAAGTTGAGGTGGATCAAAAAAATGCTCATCAGAATCCCAAGAATGCTGGGAGCATCTGTATGTATTCCAGTGACATCTTGTTTAAAATCTAGTATAATCTCTAAAATTGAAGACATTCTCATTTCCAACATTATAAAATACGAAATAAAAGAACAAAATATTCGAATTGTTGTCCCCTACATTAAAGAACAACGTCACCAAAAGTATTATATACCACCAGTCATCTTGTTTTTGTGTAAAATACACGGAACCCCCCTATGGTTTCACGAAAAGACACGGAACCCCCTATCGTTTAAAAACATACACATAAACGCCCTAAACTTCATAACTAAAGTGGAAATAGACCTATAACCGGCTGAGCGAACTACTGATGATGGGTCTGCGAGATCTTTTGAAAAGATCGTGAGTTTCATTCTCAAACTACCCTTCAATTACTATATAGAAGGCACTACATATTAGGGGAGAATAGATTTGAAGCTATCAAAGAGTGAAAGGAAAAAGGGAGAAGATCTACTTCTGAATATATCGAAGTCGTCATGTCCACTTCAGCAAATTTTGGAGGAGGTTTGACAGATCTAAGGTATGAATGGTCTCGGTGCTTCTGCAAGAAAAGAGCAAAAATCAAGATCGTGGAGTCCAACAAACCCTCAAAAGGTAGGTTGTATTACATTTGTGAAGATCAATCCTGCTCCTTTTGGGCATGGTGCAATCCTCTAAGAAGGGATGGAATGGGCAATGAATGTACTAGTAAAAGTCCAGAAACAAGATTAGACGAAAGTTCTGGATTCTCTCCAAGAGTGAACAGTAATGAAGGTGTGCTGGCTGTGAACAATGGTGACATTTTGTTGGGGCTACATGCAAAGTTGAGCACGGTTGAAGGCACTGTGGGGTTGTTGAAAGTGATAATGATTTTGTCTCTTATTATTTGTTGTTTATCTCTAGTTATTGCTGCTTATAGAAAATAGTAATTTGGTTAGTGGCAGTATAATGATGTACCAAATAATGTAATAATTTTAGTTTATGAAAAAATTCCAAATTTTGTCATGATTTGTATTCTTGTCTGAAAGAAAGATAATAACCATACAACCTGTTTACTCATGAACCAACTGTAATTTGGATAGTCATAATATGATAACCACAATCCAATATATGGCATTACAAAAAAGAGCAATAATGCCAATAATGTCATTACAAAAAAGAGCATCACTTACAAAATATGTTAATCCTTATATACAATGTCTGCTCTAAAGATAGCATATATACCATTACAACTTGTTTACATGGACACAAGTCCTAAAAATAACATTCCTGATTCTAATTTTTCTTAAATCTTTTGGATCGAGAACTAAGGTTGTTATCAGTAACTGCAGCAGTGCTGCTTTGTTGAGATGCTTGATGCACTGGTACTTCTCTGGTTGGGGCTGAAGTGGAAGCTGTTCTTGCCCCTCGTTGGGTATTGCTTGGAGCCTGCAACCAGAGTCAAAAATTTACTGCTGGAATAATTATCAAGAGTACATAGTGCAAGAAAAATTCAAATACTTAAATGTACCTTGTACAACTTGGATTGGGATGAGGAGGTTCCTTACAAGTTCTCCTATTATGGCCAGCTTTTAAACATCTCTTACAGTATACTGCCCCCCCTTTTTGGAAGCTCTTTGTGGATCTCTCGGTTCATCCGGACCTCTTCTCCTAAGTTTTTTAGGTCTCTCCAGGTTGTTTCTTCACAAATGGTGGATTTAACAGCTGCATTCCACTATCAATCCAGTGTTCTTTGGATGGAACAGCTCCAATGCATAAGCATATGCCCTCAAGTATGCCTCTTTACTATAGCACTCATCGACAATAGTTTTCAAACCTTCATCCGCATGCTTTGAATGGCAGAAATAGCATGCACACATGGAATTCCAGTCAACTGGAATGCACCACATGAACAGCTTCTACGTTGCAAGTTCACAACGGAGGTTCTGTTGAAACCATCAACCTCAAATGATTCAATACCATCAAATACAGCAATACAATGTCTGCTCTTTCTACAACTTTTAGCTAACTTCTCAACAATGTTTGGACACAATCTGCCTCCATATTTCTCCATGCCTTGCCTCTTCAATGTCAATCGTTGTTAACTTTCTTCTGAAAAATTCAAGAAGAGTCACAATTGGCTCGTCTCTTGCTTTTAAAATGTAGTTGTTGAAACTCTCATTCAGATTGTTGACTGAAATATCAGTCTTAGCAGCCATTCCATAATGTGCTCTAGACCACAAATGATATGGCAGCCTTTTTAACCAACCAGCAGCAGTAAGGTTCTCTCCATTTTGTGGCTGAGCTATCTCCAAAGCATTCAATGCTCTCTTGAAATCATCACCATTAGTTGCTGATGCAGTAGCCCAAAACAATTCTCTCAGTTCACTGTCTTTGAACTTTGCCTTAAAATTCTCAAACAGATGCTTAAGGCAAAATCTGTGTTCTGCACGCAGGAAATAGCTCCTCTATAGCATGTACTAGTCCTTTTTGCCTGTCAGAAATGAAGGTATAAGGCACTACATTGCCCCTCTCCAATATGAGTAATCAGTTCCTTCAAAAACCAAGTCCAACTATTATAGTTTTCTGCTTCAACAATGGCAATGGCTATGGGAAACATATTGTCATTCCATCCCTTCCAAGTGCTGCTAACAGTTGACCTCCAAAGGGCCCCTTCAAAAAGCAACCATCTAGGCCAATGATTGGTCTACAACCTGCAAGAAAGCCCTTTTTAAGAGCACCCAAGCCATAGAAAAGCCTTTGAAATGTTGCCCTTTCCTCAATAGACCTCCTGTCTATTTGTATAGCGATATGACTGTCTGGATTTGACTGTCTAACCGTGGCAGCATAATCCCACAGCCGTTCATATTGCTCCATATCACAACCTTTGATTGTCTCCTGGCCTTCCTCTTAGTCCTGTATGCTTTTTTGCTACTTATATTAACCATGAATCTTCTTCTGGCATCATTAATAATGCCATCCAAGCTGCAATTAGGGTCATCTCGAACCTTCTCTTGAAACTTTCTGCTCAGATAAGTTGAGGTTGCATGCTTGTTAGTGTACTCTCTGCCGCAATGGTGCTCTCCCTTTAGTGTTTTGATCTGAAAAGTGTCAGTCCTATTAACTCTGCTTGCATGAATCCTCCAAGAACATCCTTTTGCACATTTGGCAGTTATCCTCCAACTGTCATTGTTGATATATAAAACTTCGTATCCCTCTCTAATGTTCCATTCCACAAGTGCTTCTCTAAATTTTGTAAAATGAGTGAATTTCTTCCCAACCTTTAATTCAAAATTTGGCTTGTTAAACTCCACTGAAGCATTGAAATATGAGTAGTCAGGCCCATTTTCATCACCAGAATATAGGAAGTCTTCATCTGCAGTCACAGGCTCATTCCATTCCTCACTGTCAGGGCCAATAGGTTGGTCTCCTCCATGCTGATGCTGTGCTGTGGACTCCTCACCTTGTGCTTCCTCATGTTGTTGCTGCTGCTTATTCAAGTCTTCAGTTTGTTGATGCTGTGCTGTGGACTCCTCACCTTGTGGTTGCTGATGTTGTTGCTGCTGCTCATTCAAGTCACCAATTTGCTGATTTGTTTGAGGTACAGTTGAACCAGCAGTTGCAAAGATGTCCTCATCTTCTGCAAATTCTAGGCCCTCTCTCAACCAAGACGGATCAGGTTCTTCATTTCCATCACTGTGGTGCTGCTGTTCATTGTTGACTTGATTCTTCTCAACAGAGGTTCTGTCAAAGTCACAATATTGTTCATTGTTGACTTGATTTGTCTGAACAGAGGTTCTGTCAAAGTTACATTGATTTTCACATTCTTCTTTACTTTGGTTCACTGAAGAAACCTCTTGCTGGCTGTCGACAGCATCTATTCTGGTTGTTTGCTGAAATAATTTTCTGACAGTTTTTCTAGCTGCTCTCTTCACAGGTTGCACCACAGTTTGTCTCTTCCTCGATGGAGTTTTACCACCCTTTCTTCTGTTTTTCTTAGTTGGTTCGAAGGGATTTTGTGTGCCATCATTAGTTTCTACAGCAGTTGGGCCATCTAAATTATTTTCTTGCCCTCTTGTATCACCAATATATGGTTCAAAACCAGTCAGATCAACAGGATTTTGTGAAGCTCCAGCACCTTTTCTAGTCAGATCTGAATTTATCTCTGAAGAACCTTCATTGTACGGTAAAGCAAGTGGACCATCATTCGTCACTCTTTCGAATAAGAGCTTACCATCTGGTGAGATAATTTTGAGAGGCCTCTGACCTGACTCTACATATATATGCATATAAGGAAGCCCTTCATAACAGGTAGTCAACAATTCTATGTCCACGTCATCATTTATTGGGATAACACCTACATCCACATCATGGTCTGGAATGGAATACCAAAATTTTGCACATGCCGCTTCTTTTTCAATTTGGAGTACAGGTTGAATAATGAAAATGTTGATAACTCATCAGGGTCGCAATTGTGAAACACTCTCACTAAATCACTTGTATACCTAATATTGGGATGATGTATAAACCGCCCACCATAGTGCATGTGGATATCCACTGTCCTAAAAGGATCTGACATGGTCCCCAACCTAAATTATTTAATCAACACTTTTAGAATTCAAATATAGATTAATAAACTATATTAAGCTACATCACACTTTCAGATTATAACAACAATTAGTTATAACAACAATCAGATTATTAAGTGAAATCTGATTTGTAGTCAAATCCAAACCCGACACATATTATTTCCTCCTGACATCAACCACATACTCCAAAAAAGACCCACATTCTCCAAAAAAAAGCTAAAAAAGTTAAGATCTTTACATTTTTAAACCCCATTTTCTCTGATAAATCACCTAAATATGGACCACCAACTATAAAAATGACAGATATGAGGTAATGTGGGGTAATGTGGAAAAGGAATAAACAAATTGGAAAAGGATTACAAATCCTAAACATTAAATGGACTGAATATTGAACAATAAGTTCTGATTCTTACCTAGAAATGTCGAACAAGCTTCACGAT